AACCTCAATAAATACTCCTATACACTAGAATAGGAGATATTAGTCCATAAATAACCTCAATAAATACTCCTATACACTAGAATAGGAGATATTAGTCCATAAACAACCTCAATAGACACTCCTATACACTAGAATAGGAGATATTAGTCCATAAATGACCTTATTAAACACTCCTATACACTAGAATAGGAGATATTAGTCCATAACTGACCTTATTAAACACTCCTCTACACTAGAATAAGAGATATTCATCTATAAACGACCTCAATAAACACTGCTATACACTAGGAGATATTAGTCCATAAACAACCTTAAAAAACACTCCTATACACTAGAATAGGAGATATTAAAGTTATGTGAGTGAGGAACAGAAGTGTGGACCCTTGTGATAGTTTAAGGGGTCAGCGCTCTAATCTCTCTGCTCCAAAACATCACTCAGTGTTACATCAGCACCATCTCCACACATCTCCATCACCCAGACCTCCATCACAGACATTCTGCTGAAGAAGCAGTCAGGCCTGAAGGGTCTAAATGAAACTCAGGCGACTGCTGAGAGCGTCTGACAGTCCCGTGACAGTCAGCTGTGCGCTTATTGAGTTAGGCTGCTGCTCCTGAAGATGGAGAGCATTGTTGGCGTAAGTGCTGCGGTGTGATCTGTGAAACTGGCCTGTTTGTGCTCCGACCACAAATGGCACTTTAATAATTTCGGACTATGAGGTAAATATAGACAAACGATCATCACCTACAGAATTCTCACGGTACAGAAAGCGTTGCGGGTGTAGGTGCTGTGGTGTCATCTGTTCACACTCTGACCACAAATGGTACTTAAGTAAGCTTAGACTATCAGGTAAATTTAGACAAATGATGATCACCTATGGAATTATCACATATCACAGAATTACTCACATTTCTAACATTATTTTGATGTTGTTTACGTTTCAGCTGTGTGTGTGTGTGTGTGTGTGTGTGTGTGTGTGTGTGTGTGTGTATGGTCGGTTGCTAGGCAACAGGCATGACAGTTGATCATCGACTTTGATAGAGTAGGTAAAGATGTCCTAACTGGAGATAAGATGCTGTAAGATAAGATAAAATACCTAATTTGAGATCAGATCTGCTTCTGTAATTTGAACGTGTGAAATTTTTTATCTTGATCTACCAGATCTCAAGTTAGGACTGAAAGAGAGGATGTTTCTGTAATACGTCTGCTGGTCAGCAATGAGGAGTATGTTCCTCGTGAGCTTTCTCAGGAGCTCATTGTATTTGAGGTAAACAGCTCTCAGACACCAGCACACTAGTCTCTCTCTACTGAGGCCAAGAGGTCAATTCAGCGTATCTGCACGATTCACTGCCCTGCATGCAAACACGAAACACTAAAATCAGACACTGGATCCCAAACAGTTCGAGAAGTTCTCAGAGTCGGTCTCAGATGAAGTGCTGAGATCAATTGGACAGATAGAGATGTTTGGTGTAGCTAACAGTGATCTGATTTGTTTGTTTGTACAAATTAGACACTTTATTAAATCTTTATTAAATCAGTACAGAGCCTGATAAGAACTTAGATTTCCTCCCAGCACATTAAAACTGAGCGATATGAACATTACAGTACAAACTCTAAACAACTAGATCATTATTTTGGGGTAATATGATGGTTCGTTCCAAGAGTTTAGCTAAATTACATTAAAATAGCAAAGAGTTTCCGTGTAAGTATATAAGAATGTGCTGCACTGAAATGCCTGAAAGGCTCTAGATGATTAAGAGATAAATGACACAGTAAAATATCTCAAATATTTGGAGTAAAAAGGTGGTAAATACAAACATGCAATAAGGCCCAGTCCCATTTCACCCCTCGCCACCACCACTCAGCCCTACCCCTCCGTTTTGCATGTTCAGGTCTAGGGGTAGGGTGTCCTGATTCTTGTTGAGATAGAGGGGGAGGGTGAAGTGTTGGGGCTACATGACCCTCCAAACAGAGGTTTTTCAGTGACCCTCCAATGAGGAATGGAAAAAAAGAAAAACTGGCAAGATGGCTGAACAAGAGACCAAAGAAACCCACAAATGTGAGAATTTTCTCTGTTAAAAAATTACATTAATCATAATATTATCTTAGTTTAATGTCATTTCAGTGTATTATGGTCCTTTTTCTTCAAACAGGCATATAAAAACGCTAGTAGTATGCTAATGTCTCGGTAGCCAGCTAGCTAAATTTCTCGTTCCACCTTAAATGGTTAAGCATTTAAGGTGGAACGGGAAAATTCGAACAAGAAGCTGGTGAATATCTGACTTCAGCTTCATATCGCTGAAGAATTAGGGGTGGGTGATCATAAATAATTGCCCCCCTCTTCGAAGGCATATGATGCCCTAAATGTAACTAAAGCCCAGCAGTGAGGAGCTGAACTTTACCCTCCTCTGCTGTCACTGCAGACTGGCAGGGTCGCCTACAGAGCAGCGCTGGTAGCTGTTAATGAAGTGATGCTCTTTTTATTTGAGGGTCCCATTTCAGAGGGAAGATTTCAACCACTAATGCTTCTAATTCAGTTCCGATGGACACGAAATGCAGTTTTCCGCACTAAACAGTAAGAACGCAGTAGAACCACAGACAGACACTGCTTTCACTGACAGATTCAGTTTAGCTTATAACTAAGAAACAGGTACAGACTGTACAAGACTTCACACTTTATTCAGCTACAGTCTTTTTTATAAGTACCAACAATAATAATAACACAGTATAGTGGAGTTTGCACCACACACTAGAGGTCTGAACTCTGGCCGGACCTGCGGGACCCACCACAATATCTTGCGTCGCGGGACTAATTTTGAGTGGGACGCTTCACGCATGAGGAGAAATCATGCAAGTTAATAACCAACCTAAACAAAGCAGAACAATCACTGAATCATATAAATAAAGAATATAAAGTTCCCAACACACCTATCCTGGGAGTCGCTCTGTCTCTGAGAGTGTACCACCTCAGTCCATCAGAGACAGAGAGAGACAGAGAGAGAGACTGAGAGGTGGTGTGATGTGGAGCGAGACGGCCCGCGGTGACCTGCAGAGTCGACTCATTTATCAAACCACAGACAGATCAGAAACTCGATTAAACTCAGGGCACACACACAAACAATCTGCTGATCAGTACAGCTACAGACCACAGAGAGAGAGAGAGAGAGAGAGAGAGAGAGGGAAGGTGAGAGAGAGAGATGGAGAGGGAGGGAGAGAGAGAGAGAGAGAGAGAGAGGGAGGAAGGGAGGGAGAGAGAAAGAGAGAGAAGAGAGAGAGAGAGAGAGAGAGAGAGAGAGAGAGGGGGAAGGTGAGAGAGAGATGGAGAGAGAGGGATGGAGAGAGGGAGGGAGAGAGAAAGAGAGAGAGGAAGGGAGGGAGGGAAGGAGAAAGAAAGAGAGAGGAAGGGAGGGAGGGAGAGAGGGAGACAGAAAGAGAGAGAGGGAGGAAGGGAGGGAGAGGGAAAGAGAGAGGGAAGGTGAGAGAGAGAGAGAGAGAGAGAGAAAGAGGGAGAGAGAGGTAGGGAGAGAGAGAGAGAGGAAGGGAGAGAGAAAGGGAGGGAGGGAGAGAGAGGGAGAGAGGGAGACAGAAAGAGAGAGAGGGAGGAAGGGAGGGAGAGAGAAAGAGAGAGAGGCAAAGAGAGAGGGAGAGAGAGAGAGAGAGACCTGAGTCTCAGTGACCTACAACCAAATGATATCACTAACACCAATCAGCCTGACCACACGCCCGCCCAGAAAATCAGACCCAATCAGATTATCACCAAACAAATACATCAACAGCACAAGCTTCAGTGCTGTTCGGCCCTAAATCGAGATTATACTTTAGCACCGCACCTCACAGCAATTACAGACAGAAAACTGAGGAGAGTGCTGACCATGTACAGACTCAGTGAGCACAGCCTGGACATTGAAACTGGCCGGCGCAGACACACCTGGTTACCCAGAGAGGCCAGACTGTGCTCCCACTGTGAGCTCTCAGACAGAGCTGGTTACCCAGAGAGACCAGGCTGTGCTCTCACTGTGAGCTCTCAGTGGTGGAGACGGAGCTGCACTTCCTCACAGAGCTGCTCGAGATACGACTCCATTAGAAAGGAGTTCTATGGGAAGGTGAGCAGCGTCTGTCCTGAGTTTCAGCTCTGCAGTGACTCTGAGAAGCTGCCGTACGTGTTGGAGAGAAGAGCGAGCTGATCACACACGCAGCCAGATACGTGACCGCCTGTCACAACCTGAGGGACAACCAGTGAGAAACTGATATTGATTTTTATTGATTATTATATATTTATGAAATTTGTCTTGACTCTTTTATTTTTCTTTTCTTTTTGATTACTAATAACCCTGTAAATAGCGTATTTTCTAGTGTTCTATTATAATTTATTATATCATCTTTTTCTTATTTTTATGTGTTTCTTATTAACTGCTTTGGCAACAGTGTTTTTCATTACATTCATGCCAATAAAGCACTACTGAGAGAGAGAGAGAGAGAGAGAGGGAGGGAGAGAGGAAGGGTGGAAGGGAGGGAGGGAAGGAGAGAGAATTATTTTTTCTGTTTTGAAATGATTGGGTAATCTTTTAACCCTATTCAGCAGCTACTATAAATTATTCATCAGTTACTATGAATTATTCAGCAACTACTACTTAAATACCTACCATACGTTATTAAGTATCTACTATGATGTATTCAGTCATTTTTATGAATTGTTCATTATCTACTATGAATTATTAAGAATCTACTAAGAATGACTCACTGAAAACGTGAAGAGCTCCATTTCTCAGCTACAGAACGATGGTAGCAGTGTTTATGTCGGAGTAACTGACGGTAGTGATGTTAGCTCACTCAGCTCTGCTCCTCAGGTTAACACAGCTGTTAGTCCTAAGCTCCACTGTTAACGCACCGTTTTAAAACACCGCACACTCGTTTACGTGTTCCTAGACGTTCCCACCTCCACCAATCAACCTGCAGACTCCGTCCCAGAAACTCATCATGTACTGATTGATCGCTGACTCACCAGCTGAGCAGTCCAGCAGCCACGGCCGCCCAGGTGACACAGCAGGAGTTGGGCTTCTTCGTCTCCTCAGCTTCTTCATCCCTTTTGCAGCAGCACAGGCAGCTCAGATAAACCGCCAGAGCCAGCAGGTTCAACCCCAGACCAGCCGCCGCCACGCAGAACAGGAACATCAGAGACTGGCAGAGACGGAGACAGTCAGGACAAAATCAGTTACCAGTGATAACAATGAATAAAAATGTATCATATGAACATTATAGAGGCTTTTTAAATGAAACAGTAGAAGCCATATCGCCCCCTACACTTCCTGTAGTGTATTACAGTCTGTCAGAGTGACTGTGTGGATCATATGAACATTATAGAGGCTTTTTAAACGAAGCAGTAGAAGCCATATCGCCCCCTACACTTCCTGTAGTGTATTACAGTCTGTCAGAGTGACTGTGTGGATCATATGAACATTATAGAGGCTTTTTAAATGAAACAGTAGAAGCCATATCGCCCCCTACACTTCCTGTAGTGTATTACAGTCTGTCAGAGTGACTGTGTGGATCATATGAACATTATAAAGGCTTTTTAAATGAAACAGTAGAAGCCATATCGCCCCCTAGGCTTCCTGTAGCGTATTACAGTCTGTCAGAATGACTGTGTGGATCATATGAACATTATAAAGGCTTTTTAAATGAAACAGTAGAAGCCATATCGCCCCCTACGCTTCCTGTAGTGTATTACAGTCTGTCAGAGTGACTGTGTGGATCATATGAACATTATAGAGGCTTTTTAAACGAAACAGTAGAAGCCATATCGCCCCCTACACTTCCTGTAGTGTATTACAGTCTGTCAGAGTGACTGTGTGGATCATATGAACATTATAGAGGCTTTTTAAATGAAACAGTAGAAGCCATATCGCCCCCTACACTTCCTGTAGTGTATTACAGTCTGTCAGAGTGACTGTGTGGATCATATGAACATTATAGAGCTTTTTAAATGAAACAGTAGAAGCCATATCGCCCCCTACACTTCCTGTAGTGTATTGCACTCTGACTTTATTGTAAATTGTACAATACATTTACTGTAAAATACACTTTACTGTAAAGGTATAGTGTTCAAGCTGTGTCAGTTGTGCTGGATGTTCTTAATTTACATTCAGAAATGCATTTGTAAATACATTTTTATGCAAAAACGGTTTAAAAAAACAGCTAAAGCACAAACGTTGTTATCCTTCTATTAGATATTCCTCCTCTCTCCATGAAGCGCTGCTTAGTCGTTGGCGGCCCAAAGGCACAGCGCTTCCTCACTGGGTGGATTTGAGCCTGAGGCTCGTCTGTATGAGCAATTCATACAGTGAATATAGGTTTATTTTTCTGACAGGAACAGATTTCTCATTTTCTCATTTCCTGCTCCTGTAGCAAACTCATTATCTAGGACACAAAAAATATTTCAGATGAGTCACATGCTTCAGGTTTATGATAGGTGCTTTTACGTGTTTCTAAATGGAAAATGGAAAAACGTTTGCATGAATTTCTACATAAATATAAATGGATCAAAGTCAGAGCTGAATATACATTTGGGACTTTTAACTGATCTTGAATTTTACACTAAAATCCTTTTGCTCTGAGTGACCCTATTATCTTACCTTAATTATGTTTATTTTATTAAAACAAATGGACATACCAGAACAATCATAACACTACCAGAACTTTGTCAAATTGCTTCTGTGGGAATAAAACCTCATATCTCCAAAAAGGTAACTTTACAGGAGAAGGAAAAATATTCCTAAATTTTAATGGAAGTGAATGGAGAAATATTTATTTCCCCAAATAATTTTGGACAGTGTTTGTTGGTCTGTTCAGCAGGGGGAGGAGTCTGTGCACAGCAGAAGGAGGAGTCTGTGCACAGCAAGGGGAGGGGCCTATGCGCCGCCGGGGGAGGAGTCTGTCTACAGTGTTTACTTATGCAAAAGTGTGGGCACCCCTCCTCACACTTCTGCACATTTTAGTGCACAATTACTGACTATGTAATTGTTTAATTCATATAATTATTTATTATATGAATTTAACATATTTAGGGAAAAAACACAAAAGTTATGGCACAATTTAACTTTTATGTTTTATTTTTTCCACTATATTAATCTATTGTGCACTACAATTGGCAGAAAAGCACCGTTATTATTATTATTACATAATTTCACTTCAACAAAACACGTAATTTGCCCAGAGTTGCTGTATTTATTATTATATGATATATTATATTATAGTGTGTATTTCATTATATTTTTTACTTAAATTCACTTAGAAATTCAGCAAAATCGCATCAATGCTCTAATGTGGCTGGGAGTGCCACATTATTGTATTATATTATACTATATTATATTATATATTATATTATATTGTTATGTTATCTGGGTGGTGAGTTGAGCGTGAGACTGCAGGGTTGTTTAAGGTCCTGCAGTCTCCAGCAGTGGAGGAGCTGCAGCTATTTCAGTCTGTGGGTCTTAAATTGGGACGAGCAACGTGGCTTCCAGCCAGACGCTGAACTAGAGACGTTCTGAAGGAGCCTCACAGTCCACAGCCCTCACCCACACCAGGTTCTCCACCTCCCAGAACTCTGAGCTGCAGAAATCTGGGCGAGGACGGCGTGAGACCAGCACAGACAGCGAGATTTTACACCACATCAGTGCTTTCTGTAAATAACAGGATGATCAGATTCATTAAAACTCATACAGCTGATTTAGATTTAGTTTTTAGTTTATTTTAGTTGTTTTCTTGGTAAACTGTCACTCATTTGATATATATATATATATATATAATATATATATATATATACATATATATATATTGTTTTCTATTTTATCGTTTTCTATTTTTATATTTTACCCTACTCAGTTATTGTACTTATCATTATTATTACTGCTTAAAGTTAATCCTATTTGTCTCTAAGGACGATCACAGCACATACTAAACAACACTGTGATTGGTTAGAGGCTCATTTGCATACTGCAGCTCTCTATGATATCAGGATCGGTAAGGTCAGTATCATAATAACGATATAATAACAATGTATTAACGATGTATTGTTCAGCACTAACTAGGGCTGGGCGATAAAACGATAACAATAATTATCGTGATATAACTTTCCTAGATAGAACTATGAGAAATGTTGGATAAATAAACCACTCTCACACTTTCACGTTCAGCGACAGCCCTGGTGGCGTTTTTTACTGCAAGAAAAGCGACACTACTCTGTTGTCGCCAGGAGATGGCGTACTTCAGAGCTTTTCACATGATTAGAGAGGGAGGGGACGAGGAGTAAAATGAGTCGCCAAATATACTTTAGGAACGTGGCGTTATATATATTTCCTGTCTGAGTGGAGCGATCGGCGATCTGTTCTCCTGTGACCGAGTGTGAGTGACGAGATCAGTGGACTCACCTCTTTCCTTACATCCTAACAAGGTTTAGCAGCGTTAAATCACGTCTGCTCCTCTCAACTACAGCACTGTCACAGCGCTCAGTCATATTTTAGTATTAGAGCATTCACAAACAATGAAAGTGAAAGAAAGAAGTGGGTTCATGCTACAGCACTGATTTACAAGGAAGTAAACTGAGGATGCTGTACAGTGGTGTGAAAAAGTGTTTGCCCCCTTCCTGATTTCTTATTCTTTTGCATGTTTGTCACACTTAAATGTTTCAGATCACCAAACAAATTTAAATATTAGACAAAGATAACACAAGTAAACACAAAATGCAGTTCATAAATGAAGGTCTTTATTATTAAGGGAAAAAGAAATCCAAACCTACAGGGCCCTGTGTGAAAAACTGATTGCCACCCTGGGCAAAAATGGCCTGCATGGCAGAGTTCCACGACGAAAACCACTGCTGAGCAAAAAGAACATAAAGGCTCATCTCAGTTTTGCCAGAAAACATCTTGATGATCCCCAAGACTTTTGGGAGAATACTCTGTGGACTGACGAGACAAAAGTTGAACTTTTTGGAAGGTGTATGTCCCATTAAATCTGGTGTAGAAGCAACACAGCATTTCAGAAAAGGAACATCATACCAACAGTAAAATATGGTGGTGGTAGTGTGATGGTCTGGGGCTGTTTTGCTGCTTCAGGACCTGGAAGACTTGCTGTGGTAAATGGAACCATGAATTCTGCTCTCTACCAAAAAATCCTGAAGAAGAATGTCCGGCCATCTGCTCGTGACCTCAAGCTGAAGCGCACTTGGGTTCTGCATCAGGACGATGATCCAAAACACACCAGCAAGTCCACCTCTGAATGGTTTAAGAAAAACAAAATTTGACTTTGGAGTGGCCTAGTCAAAGTCCTGACCTGAATCCGATTGAGATGTGGCATGACCTTAAAAAGGCGGTTCATGCTCAGAAACCTTCCAATGTGGCTGAATTACAACAATTCTGCAAAGATGAGTGGCCAAAATTCCTCCACAGCGCTGTAAAAGACTCACTGCCAGTTATCACAAACGCTTGATTGCAGTAGTTGCTGCTAAGGGTGGCCCGACCAGTTATTAGGTTTAGGGGTGGCAATCACTTTTTCACACAGGGCCCTGTAGGTTTGGATTTCTTTTTCCCTTAATAATAAAGATCCTCATTTATAAACTGCATTCTGTGTTTACTTGTTATCTTTGTCTAATATTTAAATTTGTTTGATGATCTGAAACATTTAAAAGTGACAAACATGCAAAAGAATAAGAAATCAGGAAGGGGGCAAACACTTTTTCACACCACTGTATGTATGTGTGGCATTGAGTGGGAGAACGTTAGCGTCCCAGGCCAGCTGTTTTTAGCAGCTGGCTGACTTGAAGCAGCTCTGTCACTCACACAACACAGAGAACTGATGTTACTGTAGATCAAACAAGACACAAAAGCACTGATTTCAGTTTAAACGTACCTAAAAGTCGGACTCTGTTTGTCTGGTGTTGATATACTGCAGTTCACCCCTCAAACTACTATAGAGAAACCCAGTCGTCTGCTAGCTGCTGTCTGAATACTGTGATACGCTCCGATATAGATGTGGTAGGAGTGACCGCAGTGAGGCGGTGTGGTCCATCACTGACCTACCAAACCAGCTAGTGTTTGCTGTTCGTACTAAACTGACGTTGTTGAGAAACTAAAAGGTTTAGCACTGTTTTTGGCCGCTTGTTTAGCATTTGTAGCGGGGTAGCC